CCATTATTATAAAGTTATTCTTTCACCTTGTCGCATGCATGGATTCCTTTGAATTATTTGTTCATTGCCTTTTTTAGGTCCTCATCAACTGCCGCAATAACAGAAAGCTTTTGGGCCATGTGAGAGCCTTCGATCGCCACTGCAATATGGTGCTAGAGAATGTGCGTGAAATGTGGACTGAGGTTAGTTATTACTCTTTTCTCGGACTTTTTGTTTTCTGGATATTTATTATTTACACTTATTATAATACGATTAAGGCTCTAAGAACATTATCTTCTTGTACAAATGTTGTATTGGGTTTATGAATCTGTGGATAGGTGCCCAAGACTGGGAAAGGCAAGAAGAAAGCTCTTCCGGTGAACAAGGATCGCTTTATTAGCAAGATGTTTCTCCGTGGAGATTCTGTTATCATTGTCCTCAGAAATCCTAAGTAAAAGGTATCTGACGTTTTAACGATTTCGAGCAATGTTTGTTAGTTGATGCTTGTACAAGTGAATCTGGATTCTCAGTTCTCGGTGTTTAAAGTCGTTTATTAATTTTTCCAATAAGCCTACATATTTGTCTCGAATGTGTTTTCCCCGTGTGTGTACATCCGTAAGATTTTACCGTGCTAAATTTCTCCAGTTATTATTGCAGGTCTGTACTCTCTGGGAGATTGTTTTTGTGGCCTGTAAGGAACTATATAATCAAATGGTTACATCATTGTGGTTCAACTTCTTCGCTTCCAAAATGTTTGACTCACTTTTTTTGACTTGAAATATGTAAGGATTATTGCCGATGCTTGCTTTTCCTGTCTCACTTCTTTCAAATTAGAAGCTTGGATGTTACATTTTTTGCATTTTGCATTATGCCAGTTGGATTTGGTTGTAATGTAGTGGATGATCCATATCTCTCCATTCCTTTGAACTTCGCAACTGCATTATTATTAATTATTTGGATATACTTTTGTGGATATGGTTTATAGAAAACAGTCATTATATGTGTCCAATAATTACCTCCTTATTTTGTTTCAGCTCATTTGACGTACTAGATTTGTTAAATTGTGAGCAAATTGTTATTGAGCCTGTATAGATTTATAGTTGTTCGTCATTTTAAAAATACTGAGATAATTATTCTTTTTCAATTGATATGCATTTTTTAAGTTGATGTGTGTACTCTGATAAACAATATAAACCATAATTATGCATATTAGTCAAAAACAAAATATAAGTCAATCCACCTATCCGTCTCACAATAATTTATATTTAAAACATGGTTTTTGTTTTGAGTTTCTGGATTTAATGATGGATATAAATAATGTGTTTGAAAAAAAATGGATTTTATTTCCTTTTTCTGGATGCAAATAGTGATGATAAATATCTATCCAGACGTTAAATTGATTGAAATATTATACAAAATTATTTCACAGTTCACCAATCAGATGACTAGTTGGCATCATATACCCATTCCATAACACCACTAAAATTTCTAAAATTTTGATTTCACTGAATGGAAGCTCTTTATAATCTCTCAGTAGTGTTTATGAATCATCATCAATATAAAACTCTCAACCATAACTACTCTACATAACATGAAAAATATTTATCATCTGCAGACAGTCTACAAAAGACTTGAAAACAAACAATGTACCGACATAAGATCTGAGGGACAGTAAGAAAAGAAAAAAAAAAAAAGTAGGGAAAAAAAACGAAAAAAAAAACAGAAAGACGATTATTATAGTACCCACACGATATAACCTCTACGAACTAGCTAAAGCGCGCAAGGCTTTTATATTTGATTCTATCCTATTGTACCCCAAAGGTTCTGCAAAAGTAGATCAAGCATTAGAAAACCGGTCTTCCGTTAAAAGAAATTCCTTCTCAAAAGACTAAAGTGGGTTTATATATGCTAGTGCAGCTCTTTGTAGTTTTTTGTTCGTTAGGCTGTTTCTTTTTTGTGATTGCTGGAGTCCGAAACATCTTTGTGGTCGCCAAAGATACGTTTGCTAAAGTCCGAGACCATCATTGGGAGACCTTTTCGTAGTGGCACCTTGGGCTCCCAGCCCAATAGATCTTTGGCCTTTGAGATATCGGGCTTCCTCTTGTGTGGGTCGTCTTCTGTGTTGGGCCTGAACTCGATCTTCGCATTTGGATCAATGGTCTCTTGAACAACCTGCGCGCATCACCGTTAAGTTTGTAAGGAAACTAAAGGGCCATGGGACTAGGATGATATATTTAGTGTGCAGTGTTCACTAAAAAAAAAATTGTCATATTCCAACGGTAATAAATTCCAATCGATATTCCAGTGGTATAGCTCGAAAATTCCAATGAAAATATTCCATTAGAATAAGTTTTCCATTGGAAATTGATGATTCCAACGGATTATTACTGCAGGAATTTAATTTCTGTTGGAATATGTAATTTCTGTTGGAATTTTATTCCACCCGTATATTGTTTGAATCGTCAAAATCCAACGGACATTTCAATGAAAAACTCATTCCAACGGAATATTATCGTTGGAATCTCCGTAGGAATCTATTGAAAAATTCCAGCGAAAATAACACCTATGGAATATCAGAATTCTATTAGAATATATATCCGTTGGAATTTCATCATTTTTTTGTAGCGGTCTTAAAATTTGAGACGTCATAAATCAATTAAAAAACTGAGCGGGCAAAGGGTAGACGAAATCTGAGTACCTGCGCAAGTTCAAGCATGGTAAATTCACCGGGATTTCCAAGATTGAAAGGCCCAATGTGCTCTCCTTCCATTAACCGGATGAGTCCCTCAACCTTCAAAATTTAAGAAACATATATTAAACGAAACATATTAAAAAGTTGTAACGTTTCAATGTAAAGTTGTTGTTAGGTTGTCTAATTGTTAGGCAATTCTACTTTTTCGATAGATTTTACATACTTCCATTTGTGTTAACCGGTAGCAATGGTAAAAATATTTGTGTCCAAACTTTACATAATCTTTTCATTCCCATTTTCTTCAATAATGTATACATTAAATCCTTGTAATTAAAGCAAGATAAATATTATGATATGGTAACTTCAGATATATTCATAAATCTTGCCAGAATTTGTCAAGGGACTTCTAAAGCTCGTGCACATTCACACAAAAATGATAAACACTTCTTTATAACCAAAGAAATCAGAAAACAAAACATGATTCTCCAAACTAGATAACGATATAGTTCACGTTTAAGTTGCATTTGCTGGGTTTTAGCAACTCATCAAGTTGGATTAACAAAAAAATCGAAAAGAAAAAATTATGTTGGAGATTTTGAAAAGGCTTACCAAGTCAGAAACAAACTGAAAACTTCTTGTCTGCTTCCCATCACCATAGACAGTTAACGGTTCCTTCCTCAAAGCCTGCAAAAACACAACCGAAAATTAAATTTTTTAGCTTAAATTACAATTAAATTTTGTTTTTAGCAATCAATAAACATGAAAAAATTGTATATCATTATCACCTGAGCAACAAAATTGCTTACAACACGACCATCATCAATGCACATACGAGGACCGTACGTGTTGAAAATCCTAGCAATCCTAACCTGCAGAATCACATTGAAATATATACACATTTTTTCACAAAGTAAAAATGAGTAATTAAGATCAGCTTAACACACTCATTTTCTTGGAAGGTTACAAGTTTATCAACTAATGAATCCCTCATAAGAAAATTGACTAAAAAATACTATTACTAAAATATTTTTTTCACTTTTGGGAATTCTCCCACAATTTTATTTTCTAACTTCCATTGCATATCAAAAGCTATTCGCTATTCGCGTATATAGTAATTATTCTTTTTTTTTTTTCAATAACAAAATGGACATACACAAATCAAAAAGTATACTATTCATCCATCCCATTGGCAATTGGATAAATTTTCAATCCAATTTCACTCACATTTTTAATATAATTTTTGAATTAAAAATCAATTATTACATTACTATTAATTATTATTCTTTATATTATAAACAATTTCTAATTCTCCCACTCAAACAAAATTATAGCTAATCTCCCACCCTAATTTTCTTGATTTAGAGACAAAAAATGTGTTGCATTAAATAAAAGAAAGGAAACAAAAAGTACCTCAACATTAGCACCTCGATGATAGTCCATGGTCAACGTCTCAGCCGTTCTCTTCCCCTCATCGTAGCAGCTTCTGACACCTGTCCACATCACACACACACGTGTCATTTTCTTAGCACGACACACAGACATTTATTACTTTTCTTTTCAGTTGATTTAAAAGTTAAAACCACTGACCACATTTATGCCACAAAATCAACTCTCTTAAAAATGGGCCATCTTACCATCTAACGGCCCACATTTTTTCATTTTAAAATATTAATAAATAAAATTGTGATAAACAGAACAATAAAAGAGGAGAATATCGGCGATATCGCGTGGGGCCCATTGGATTTCGGACGGGAAATTGAAAAACCGGTCGCCATCGGGTTGAAAAGCAAGACGAACCGGAACCAAAAAACCTACTAGCCACCAACCCACACGTGGCGTGACAAAACAAATGTGAAGAATCGTCAAGCGCATGACATCAGATACTTTAGAAATTCATTACACGCTCACGCTAGTCACCTCCCTCAATGGCCGCACTAACCTGCGCCGCCCGACCGGACGCCGGCGACATCGTCGTACGCGAGTAGTATTATCAACAGAAACGAAATATATAGGAAAACATAAATATAAATAATAACAAAAATGAACGGAAAAATAACCGAAATACAAACTCACCGATCGGATTAACGTTGCCCCAATAAGTCTCGACCTGCGGGTGCTGTAAGGGATCGCCGTAAACTTCGCTGGTGCTCGTTAGCAAAAACCGCGCACCAACTCTCTTGGCCAGCCCAAGCATGTTCAATGTCCCCACAACATTTGTCTTGTGCACAATCGCGAAAATTAAGGATTCAAACAAAAGGTCACGGAAAATTTGTCCCCCACACCCAAAAGAGGCAAAGGCAAAAATAATAAAATAAAATAAAAAATCCATTAGTATTTTGAATCTGTAAATTCAATCGACCTGCACAACAACATCGATTCAAATACTAACGAAAAAACAAAACGGTTTCATAAACAATAATGAATAAATAATATTAAAAAAGGATATGATAGTTTTGACGGGATTGTGTTTGTAATGAACCGGCGAGGCAGGGCAAGCGAGGTGGTAGATCTGGTCGACTTCGAGCAGCAGCGGCTCAACGACGTCGTGTCGGATCAGCTCAAACCTCGGATTTCCGAAGTGGTGCGCCACGTTTTCCTTCCTCCCCGTGAAAAAATTGTCCACCACAATCACGCTGTCGCCTCTGGCCATCAACCGGTCAACCAGGTGGCTTCCGACGAAACCGGCGCCGCCGGTAACCACGATCCGCAGCCCCTTGCGCTTAAGACCCAGCGGGATCTTACCGACCGAGCCGATCCCGAACCCGGTCGAGAGGTGGGCGGTTTGGTACGCGGATCGGTGGGGTTGGGACCGGGTCAACTCGGGCGTGTCGAGCGGGTAGCGCGGGATGGGGGTGGGAGGGGACCGGGCGGAGGAGAAGAAGAGGGCGGCGATGGAAATGCCGGCGAGGAGGAAGATGAGGCGCTGCTCGCGGAGGAGGTAGCGGATCGGGCGGGTCACGCCGAGCCACGGCTTGGCGGGTTTGGGCGAGTACGAGTCGGACTCGGGATGGGACTCGTGGCCGCGGAATGTCAATTCGGAGGCCATTGATTTTTGTTTGCTTTCAGATCAATGAGATTTTGGAGAGTGAAGAATATTCGACGGCGCGTCGTGATGGTTTCTTCACTCGCCGGCGCGTGGTGAAGGGTGTCTGTCTCGGGGTTTCTGATTTGTGGGGGGACGCAGTTTAATAAAGCGCAGTTTCCCATGGGCTTTTACCAAAGTGCCCTTGTTCTGACATTTCTGTTCTGCTGTGATTTCTAAAGTACAAGGCGTTATAGATAATCGGTCAGTAAATCACAAAATTATGTTACGGTGTTTTTGTAATAAATCGTGTTAAACTATATTTAGATTGACACGTTTTTTTTTTTTTTTATATGTAAATATAAAAATTACAATGAAACATTTTGATATGTAGTTTAAAAATATTTAGAAATAATTATGGTATTTGATTGAATAAAAATGTATTTTGACTAATATAGTACAGTAAATCGTCACATCTAAAAATTATGATACATATATAATAGATGCGACATTCAAAATTAGAACAGACTAACCATAACTTGACCCGACTGTCAAATCTTACAAATTGAATTAGCTAGAGATAGTAGATCTACAAAATATTATTGTCGAATAAACGACATCCAAATTGATTTATATACAGTTTTGCTATATAGTCATCGAATGATTTGGCTTATGGAGCCATCTATAGTTACTCATAAATGATGTATTGACACATGTCCTAAAATAAATATACATTGTATATATCAGTACATAAAGTTATGGATGACTCCATAAGGGAGTCATCCGATGGCTCCATAGAATTTCTGAATTTATATATATCAGTAGACTCATATTCTCTAGTGGAACAAGACATAAATTCTTATAAACAAAGAATTCGTATTCACTTTCTATAAAGAATAAATGATGTAAGGTTATTATATCACATTGATTATAAAAAACAATGTGAATCTAGCTTGTTAAATCGGGTAAACTATCTCGAATCACCTTGGAGATTGTAAAATGTGAATGAAATTAAAGGTGCAATGATATATTCTTGAAAATCTTGTGATTGTTAAAATTTATTCAAATTTTGTTGGACATTTCCTCGGTGTAAATTTTTGATTATTTTTTCAGATAAACAAATAGAAAAAAAGTCACGTATAATAGACTTTTAAATAGACCATTAGAGTTATTTATGGACATGACAGTTCATTCAGTCTCACGTGGAAAAGAAGAAAAATGAAAACAATGCATGAAGTGTACGAGGAGTGCAAGAGTACGAATTTATGTAGCAACACAAAATATAAAGCAGAAGCGAGTTAACCAAATTTGTCCTGCTTCTCTCAAAACTCTTTCACTAGTGAATAGTCGGTGCACGTATCGTAGTATAGAATTATGACTATAATTCCCTTCTAATTCTATTGTCTATACACTCCTCTTCCCTATTTACTTTTTTTGCCAAAACATGGACTCAAAAAACCATAGTAGATCCCTCCACCGGCACATGTTTCTCCTAAGTGTCGTGAAAATATATATAAGTGTTTAACTTTTCGCCTGTAAGAACACGAACTGAAAGCTCCACAAAATTTATGGAATATGATGAAATATGAGCTCTCAAAACTCTTGAAATTCTTAGAATAGTACGAGCTCTCTCTCTCAAAACGCTATGATACAATGATGAAGAATTATGAATATATAAGTGTCCTCCTTTAATATAATATATTCTGAATTTTCATTATTGATAAGTTTCCTTCATTGTGAGATTCGACTGATCTTGTTCCACCTGGTCCATATCTAGGTTATTCTCCTTCTACCTGTGTCCAACCCACGTCCATACTCCATATCCCTTAGCCGCGTCCGTATCCTTTCCATGCCTGTTTCTACACTAAATAAGAAAACAAATCAAAATTAAATCTAAACTCAATATTCAACAATTAAAACACAAGGAAGCCTATAAATAAGTTAAATTTTCTTTTATTTTATCTTGCTTCCTTTTCAAGTAATCTACAAGGAATACAATTAAATAAACAAGTGAAATATTCGAATAGTGCCAATTCAACATCCTAACCGTTCAAACACACATTCTCATCATCCTGTATATTATACCTCCTCTGTCTGTAATTGTCTCTTCTTTTGTGCATGGTGGAGTTATACACGAGCTCATGGATAATAAGATGTAAATACTATACACTTGAAGTATTACTATTGTATTTTATTTAACTAAACTACAAGTCCCAAATTGAGATTTCTTAATTTATCTCTTGGATACCTATAGGCTATAATTATATCGCTGTTTTCCACATAATATCTGCCCTAGTTAAATCTAATCTGTAATTGGGTACCTTTTTTTCTATACGTTGAACCCTAAAAAAGCACAAAAAAAAAAAAAAATAGAAAGAAATGAAAGAGTGGCATAGCATGGTCTATAGAGTATAGACTATAGCAAACCACATTTTCTTTGACCACATTTAATCTTAATCAATATTTTGTAGAAATATTCGATTCTCTTTTCATACCAAATAAATAGAGGACCAGTTTTGTTATGGAGTCATCGGATAAACCGACTTATGGAGTCATTCACACTTATTCATAAATAATGTATTGACTCGTGTCCTACAATAAATATATTTTGAGCAAGTGTTGACACATTAAGTGATGAATGACCTTAAAAAAATCATCTGATGGTTCCATAAAATTTCTGAATAGTAGACATCCATTTTTTAAAACACAAGATTATTTCCATAAACAATTAATTATCTGTTATTATATTTACTGTAAACAGTCATAAAGGGGTTTCAAATTCACCTTTATGATGTAGGTAACTGTCGAAATTGAACCCTTTTTTATGCATACTTTTGGGTCCAAAACAAATGTAGAAAATGATACATCATTATTGGCTTATAAACAGTCGAAATGTTCAATAAATTTCTAACATAATTATGGCCCATATGTGACAAAGTTCTATGTNTTTCATCTCAAGCAAAGTTATTGTTTTTATTTCTTTTTTATTATCATTCTCGTTTTTTTTTTTCTCTAAATGATTATCATATTATGCAAATATTGAGATCAAGGGCTTGATCGTCTTTATGAATGCTGGTCAACTAAAGGCAATTTGGTGGGTTCTTTGAGTAATTTGAACGCTCATTTGCTATGGGAAAAAAGTCAAAGATTGCCAACTCGAATGAACAAATTAGTACTTTTAATTAATAAAAAATATTAGTAATGTTGGCTCTTTTGTCAACCATAAAATAATATGTAACAACCTAAATACCTAATCATATCTCTTCTTTAAGCAACAGATGTATCATCAATTATTCAAACAAGATAGATCGTTCAATCGATTAGTGACTAATTGTTTATAAGAAACTGATGAAATATTACTTAATCTGTTCGTCTTTTTATGTGAGATAAAGATTGTTCAATCAATTTTTGACTACATCATTTGAATTGATTAGATAAGATACCATTCATTTGTCCATAATGAGATTGTGTCTTGAATATTACAATATTTGATAGGGGCCATGAAATACGCACACTTACATTCAGTGTTATAGAAGTCGCTAGGCGATCGACCAACGCCTAGGCGAGGCCTAAAAATAAATAAAGATCAAATATTTTATTTTTTATTTAGTTTTACTATCTACATAATAAAACTATTTCAACTTATAATAAATCAACGCACCTAAGTCTAAATAATAATATTAGTATATTATAAAGAAAACAGGATAACAAAAAATGTAATTAGTATTTAAAAAATATCAAAACATAAATTGAAAAATTGTCGCCGAGCCCGCCTAGGCATCGCTAAGCCGCCAGGCCGTCGAGCCCGCCTAGGTCCGCTTAGAAGCCGCCTGACCGATTTTTTAGCCGATTTATGCAAATCGGAAGCGGTCGGGCGACGCCTAGGCCAATTTTTAGTACAGTGCTTACAATCTATCATAATTAGGGTTGCAAACGAACAGAGCGGCTCGCGAACCGTTCGCGAGCGCTCGAGTTAAAGCTCGGCTCGAGCTCGAGTTTGACTGAACTCGAGTCGAGCTCGAGTTGACTGAACTCGAGTTCGAGCTCGAAGCATGTCATCGAGTCGATCTCAATATAGGTTTTGGAAGGTCGAACCGCTAGTGAGTGGCTTGAGATATGTAGTAAATTATGAAAATACTCCTTATATATAAGTAGTGCAATACATTATATATTTACTTAATGGTAATTTTACTTGAAATTCAAGTCAAATTCGAGCCAAGCTTGAGCAATCTTTCGAGCATTGTGATTTCAATCGATCTCGAGCTAGGCTCGAGTGAATGTCTTCTTTTGTAGAGTCAATCTCGAGCATCATAAATTGAGCTCGAGCAGATAAAAAAAAACAATCTTACTCGATAAAGCTAATGCTCGATTCAGCTCAACTCGTTTGCAGCCCTATATGTCTATATGTTGATATTTGAGTTGATGCTTCATAAGCTATTGAATTTAAAAAGAGAAAAAAAAAACGGTTGGTTATTGAAGTTTACGCATTCTTTTATTGGTCTTAGTATATTTCATATATGGTCATATTTTTGCATGAGTGAACAAATAACTTTCTTTATTAGTGCAATTGAAGTGTTATGAAAAACTTTTCAATGAATGTAGCCAAAAATCTCCATCTCTGATCTCATCATCATACATAGTGTTGGGCATGAAATTTGCACGTCGTGAAGCAATATATAGTATATAATGTAAAGCTTGCACATGCATTTCACTTGAAAAGGAAAAAAAAATGGAAGCCTTTGAGAAGAAGGAATCTAAGTTACACAACAAATAAATAAATATTAAATCAATAAATAGTAAAGTAAAACATGAATGGATAACGAGTTCAGCTATTGAAAAATGTATAAATATATTAGGTCATGAGCGACTTAATGCATTTAACTTCTCTAATTCATATCATTATAAACTCTAGCAATCTAGCATGGTGATATAGTCACAAGTTTGAAATTATTAAGTTTGAGTAAATAAATTTATATCATTTTGCAATGTATATAATATTTTACAATTAATATGTTAGACCATTT